AAATTGAGCTGATCTCATCGTGCTGAAGTTCATCCTGTGTCCCTGGCTGTGCTCAACCCAGTGCTGGTCTCACTTTTTCCTCATATTCTGATACATGGGCACAATCCAGATTCTTCACTTATACCCCTTGGTTCCCCACAGCTCATCCAGCCCTGCCCCTTGGCAAGTGTGTCCTGCACACAGATCCATCCAGTGTCTACACCACCAGTCTTCATTTTGACTGTGTTTGCCCTCAATTTCCAGCTGAATTGCAAGCAATGGCTTGAGCGAGTAGCTCCAAAGCCACTTTGTGTGGCTCATTCCTCTGCTTTGCACTCTAGACACTCAGAGTCCACCTCAATGCATGGGATCCTCCAGCTCCTCCAGCTCCTCCAGTCCCCAGTCAGCCAGGTGGGTCCTTCTCAATGCCCACTACTCCCAGGGCAGGTCTTCATCTTACTTGCTCTCCTGAAGTATTCAGTGCACAAACTCTGTGTGCCAAGTACTTTGGAGGGCAGATCATATTTTAGGTTCCCTCTGGTTGCTGCTGGACAAACTGTAGGGTGGCAGGAGAGGAGTGGGGCTTTGAGTAGGAGGCTGTGACAGTTGTCTGCTGAGAGGCAATGGTGCCTTGTGGTTGAGAGGTGGCCACGAAGATGAGGGAAGACTTGGGTCTCTTAACTGGTGTGTCATGTCCTCCATGAAGTTTCAAGATCACTTCTTGTCACTGTAGTACTTTCAGATCATCTCTCTCTGCTATCCATCTGCAGTGCTTCCTGTGGTCCTTCTCCCATGGGGCCAAATACCTCCTTTCTCTAGGCAGTGAGTTTTGAGCTTTTTAGGGAGAAGAGCCCATTAAAAACACAGAGAAGGTTCAAATACCTTTTCTCTAGAGAATGCACTTCCATATGCAAGTTTATGTACAATTTCAGGGGGCCCATTCCCTGGGTAGGACCCCAGTTTTCTCTGTAGCCCAGAAGCCAAACCTCTCCTTTCTTCACACCATCCTCACTTACTGTGTCCATGGGCATAATATGATCAATATGTTCCTTTCCAAGATGGCAGCTTCTTCCCTGCCAACATCTTTTGGAAAAGAAATACCCAACACTCCCTTTTTCATCTTAATGAAGGGATGCAAAATTTGCTTCATCATGTTCTAAAATAAGATGAGGCTGTGGTTGGCCAAGTGGTTCAATATGGGGTACCTTCTTGGTACCAAGAGGCTGGAGAGAAGACTCTGTGACCAGCCACAGGTGCATGGCACCTCAGACACAGGAGAGCTCATTGTGTGTGCTGTGTATGGGCTCAAGGATCTTCCCAAAAGAATTTAGTGCTGACCAAGTCATTTTATGGCTAGAGTGAGTTTAGAGAAGATTCTAGCATTTATGTGATTATGTGCTTTGTGTTCCAGTCAAAATCATTTGAAATAATTCCTAATGATTTTATAACCATTGGAAAATAATGGGAAAACTGTTGTAAGGATGGGCTGCAGGACTGGAGGTGTAGCTCCAGTGGTAGAACAACTACTTTGCAACCACCAAGCACTGAGCTCAAACCCTACTCCAAAGAAAAAGAATGAGTTGCATAGGGCTCTTTTCCTGTTATATTTTTTCTAAAGCCAATCTGAGGTCCACACAACTGATGGGAGATAAATGAAATCACTTTGCTACTGAAAGCACATTTGCAGATACTGTTTCAGGTTACAGAAAACATCCTTCTGGCACTAGCATTTCCCTCAGTGTAGTACTCTGACCAGGGGCTTCTTCTGGGTAATCGCCAATAATTTTGATTTAAAGTCAAGGATCCAATGAAAATTTTATTTTTACTGGGAAATTGTACATATTGACCTTTGTAGATAAATGGTTTGCAAATATTTTCTCCCAGCTTATCTTTTTATTCTCACTCTTTGGTCATTTACAGAAAGTGAAAAATTTTAAACTTGATGAAGGTCAGTTTGTTATTTTTTCCTTTCATGGATTGTGTTTTTGATGTCAAGTGTAAAAGCTCTTTGTCTAGCCCTCGGTCCCTGAATAAGCTTTATCTCAAATTTTCATAGTTTGATGTTCAAGTCCACGTCCATTGCAGAAGTGTGAAGTTTAGGGAGAGATTTCTTTCTTGACAATGGATGAAAAAAACTGATTTTGGAGCTCATCTGTTCTTGGAACTTGTGCTGTATGTTTTCTATTAGCCCTACTCTGCAGATGAAAATGGACTGATCTGTTCCCCTTTATCCTTCAGCCCTTCAGTATGGAGAGTCCAGATGGATACAGATGAAGAACTTGAAAACTTTAATATTTCAAAACACCAAATTGCCTTGCTAAGTTTCCTGATGAAATGATCAAATGAAACATAAGAGCAATCCTAGGAGTATTTTGTTTTAAAACATTTCTTGTGTACAGTTGCAGAGATCCTGAAAAGGACAAGCTCTACCCTTTCCTCACTCCACTAGCCGCCCACAATAAATTGGAAATTCAGAGGGTGTGATTCATTGCAAAACTCAACAAAATCACCCAGCAGTTCTCATGAGTTTTTTGTACCTGTAATCTGCTTTTTTCATATTTATGCTTATTTGAAATTGGCTTGTGTTCCTGTGCGCTTTCAGCAGCTGTCTACCTGTGTGATATTTTGAAAAGAGTCTGTTTTCTATGCAAAGAAGAGAGTTGAAGAGATAACCCAGCTTTTCAATAGGAGCTTTTTCCAAGCTTTCTGAGTGGCAACTGATGATTACCCATTAGGACAGCCACATAGCTTGGCCACTGTGCTAGGGCTTAGGGAGGCAAGCTGTGACCATCTGGCTTAAACAAAATCCTTTTCTTTCCCCATCCGGCCCTGCCTTCTAACCAGATAAACAAACGTCTTTTCCCACAGGCCAAAATATAAGTCCTCACACGAGGGTTTGAATAGCTGATCTCCAGGAGTGATTCTAGACACCTAGGACTGATTTAGAATAAATTGCAAAGAGTGTATTGAAAACGATCATCTGATTTCCAAAATGTGTTATTAATAATGTAATTTAAAATCATACCATATTTATTAGAGATTACCATTTCTTCTTTTAATAATCACATGGTCACTTTGTAGCTCCGTAGGAATTGTACTTTAATGAATAAATTAATTTTTAAGTAATTTCTGAAGATATCCCCCTTTTTTGCAGAGCTATCTCATAAATTTCATTAAATGCTGATCTCAAACTGCTTTTTTAATAAAATGTTCATTCAGTGAGTCATTAATAGTTAATAAAAATATCTTTGCCCATGACCAGATTGCTATAGCGTGAGATTTCAGATTTATATGAAATAAGCTTCACCAACAGTAATTTTTAATTTTCAAGTGTAAAAACTCCTTCATGCATATTTAGGGGACGAGATGCTTACAATAAAATTGAATTTTTTCTGCCAATTCTTTTCTTTTATTCATAGGTGCTTTGCAATTATTTCACAGAGAGGATTTTAAATTGAACTCCATGGATTTGACTGTTCTTTTTTCCTTGGTGCAGGTGGACCATAGGGCACTCAGTAGGTGGTCTCATGGAGGAGTTCCCTGAAAACACTCCAGTGGAGACCTAAGCATGTCACCAAGGAAGGGAGGGAGAAAGCAGCCCTGGGGTGAAGGGACAATTATCTGCAAATCCTGCAGGAGCCTGGGAGCTAGGAGACCTTTAGAATTGTCCAGGTGGCAGACGAGGAGGATGGTCTTTGATACTGTCACACATCTGTCCTGGAATGCAGGCTGCCCCAAGAGGGGTGTACCTCACTGGAGGGGCTCCTAGATGGGAAGCATTTTTGGGGAGGAACTCAGCTGTGAGTTGCCAGCGTGGACATTCTGGATAGCTGGGAGGTAGAAGGTCTTGATTACAAAGGGGGCATCTGCCACCACTGGCTTGGGTTGTGCCCCAAATGCACAGTGGAGAGGTCTCTCTTTTTTTGGTCACACAGTGAACAATGGGTCATGGTCAAAGACAGGAATGAAGACAAGATGGGTAAGATGAAAGATGTGATCGGCTTATAACCATGCTGGACGAGACATGCAAGAAGAACCCTCACCTCCATCTGTCCAGCCCCAATCATGCCATTAGAGTTCAACAAAATGTTGGCCCTTGTCACCATCACATACCCTTGCATTCATGTAGACTTTAGTAGTGTCAACTGATGCTTATCCTCACTCTCCCTTGCTCACCATGTCTGATCCACTGATACAAGCTGGCTCTTTCTTTCTTCACTGCAACATGGCAGAGTCCCAGCATGTCACAGGGAAAGCCATAACCTTAGGGACTCACTCCAGGAGTTGACTCAGATCACACTTTTTGCGTCTTCTGGGTGATGCAGGAGATTCTACTTAACATCATCACACTTTCAGATGGGCCACTTGGTCACAACCCAAGCTCTCCTTACTCCCCACAGGGAGTTGATGCTGGGGAGCCAACCCAGCCAGCCTCTGGGCATATTCCCTCTTCCCACATTCTTGCAGATGAAAGACCGCCAACGCTGCACCCAAGTACCAGCAGCCTGGCAGGTCGCGTCCACCTCACTTCCAACCACCACTTTACAAGGGAAGGCCTGCTTCCACATTACACGATGACTCCGACTTCCCTTGGTAGTAAGAAAAGAAACGCTCTGTAAAGTATACCCGAGATGTCCATATAATATAATGAGAGTGAAGATACTCGGGTTTACATAAGACATGATTACTTTGACTTCCCCAGTGGGTCCTTGTTTCAGCCATTTTTTTTCTCTCTACCCTGGGACAGATAATGGGGTTGATTCATTTTTCAAGAACGAAAATTCAAGCCTATGTAAAATACAGGAGTGTGAAACTACCCAACTACCCTACCAGATTACTTAAAGTCATAGGAACGAGGCAACTGGGATGTGTCAACCCAACCATAAAACAAAAGAAAAACCTTTTGGCAGCTGAGAGATTCTTTCACAGATTTGAGATTATCCCACTCACTGACAGTCAAAAAAGGGCACTAAAAAGAAAATAAGATCAAATTTCTAAAAATTACCTTAAAAGTACTTTACTTAGATTTTTCCTTTACTCTTTTCTGTCCCTTCTTTTTTCGGCTTTCTTTTCTGTTTTGTTTGTTTTCTTTCGGCTCTTTCCTCTTCTTGGTTGGCAAAAGGATGTTCTTCAATAAAACCTGTAAGGAAACCAAAATAACACATCACTTAATAGACCCTAAAACCAAAGAGGACCAACTGGATTTTCTGGGCTGGAAAGAAAGTGCTTCTGCTGGTTTGTGTCCTTTTTCTGCTCTCCCCTGGACCCAGAATTCTGCATCCTCCTGTGGGCATCACGGGGCTCCTTGCAGTTGTTCCTACCTGAGTTGGATTTTGTCAGAAGGAAGCAGCTGTCAGGTCTCAGAGGGCAGAGGGACAGAGCTTTCTGTTCAGTTCCCTCTCAATTCAGAGCAAACTCCAGCTTTTGGGACTGCACAAATGCCTAGAAGAAGCCATGGCTTCCTCATTATTCTCAACCAAACCTGGGATGTGTCAAAACCCCTCCACCCCTCACTTTCAAAATTCAAGTTTTCAGGAAGCCCCCGTTTGCCTGCCTGGGCTTCAATGGTGACAGCTGTTTCGCATAGCTTCCCCTTTACTACGAATAATCAAACATCTCATCTGGTAATTGTATTTATTTATTAATGTGTTTATTTATTTTATTATTTTTATTATCATATTATTTTGTTACTGCGGGTACACAATGTGACATTTACCAAAAGTGCTTACTTAAATTCACCCCCTCTGTCATTCTTCTTCATTTCCCCTCCCCCCCATCTTTTAGAATAGTTTCAACAGTCTTATTTTTCCATTTTCATTCATGAGTTACACAGTATTTTACCCCATTAGTTTCACCCTCCTACACCCTTTTCTTATATCTCATTCCGCTCATTCGGTTATTCAACCCTCAGACAGAACCTGTTTTACCCTTCCTGCCCAAATCCATTTTTTTGGGAAAAAGAGACATTTTTGTTTAAAGGATTAGCTACACTAGAGAGTTTTCATTATTTGACATTTCCAGTGTATATGTATTATATCCTGAATTGATTTCATCCCTTCCATTTTTAACTCCTTTCTACCTTAGTCCCCTGTCTATGGTGAAACCAACAGGTTTAAAATTCTATATTGCATTCCTATGTGGGGAAAGCACATCAATCATTATTCACCTTAACATCAGCTGTAGGAAACAAAGACATAAGAAAACACGCTGAAAACTGTAACGATTGCAGAATGGGGAAAGGGCGAGGGAAGTGCAGTGCGAGGGGGTACATTAACTTAAATACAGGGTGCATAATAATAATATATGCATATTTTTGTAAAGCCCAAGGTAAAAGTGCCAAGTCAAAATCCCACTGAAACAATGGACAGACCTAAACACAAAGGAACAAGATGAAAAAACAGGTCATGCTAAGGAAGGCCACTAATGGGGGGGGTAAAAGAAAGGAAGTAAAGAGGTGAATATTTGGTTAATGTACTCTCTCCTGGGAGATTTTAATTTGCATTTCTTACAGTGACAAAGACCACTTATTCTTCCTATATTTTACGATTCTTCTTAACCAAGTACCTTGTTTGCATAGGACTTTGGTGTTACTGAGCGTTGGCGAGGGCTTAGGAAACACCTACTTCAGTTTAGTGTGGATGGGTTTCCTAAGCAAAACACTCCCTCCACTAAGAGCAGTGAATTCTGGGAGACAGCAGGATGGACAGTGATAGCACACTTCCTGTTTGGCCCACAGGGCTCTTGGCTCATCACTGGTCCTGTGACTGAGACAAGCCTCATAACTTCTCTGAGGCCTCAGCTTCCTCAGCTCTCAAATGAAGTCAACACTTCCATACACAGCTCTTAGAGATAGCCACGGCACTGGTATAAGGGGGGGGCGGGGCATTCACAAAACTACATTCATTTACGGGGCTGGAGAGAGTCCCTGGGGGACTGGGTTGGGTGGGACACAAAAAGGCTGGGAAATTGTACCCCAAGGGACACCACAGCTAGTGGTAGCTGAGATGATGGGGAGGAACAGGTGCTACCTGGGGTGAGGTCGTAAGGAAGAGAGGAAAGAGCAGGGTGCGCAAGAACATTGTCAATTTCATTCTGTGGCGACGAAACACACATAGCAAACTCATACCCTGCACGCAGAGCCCGCCACATGGACACTCATCTTGAGTCTGAGCCTGGTATGTTATTTGAAAAAAAACTAAAAATAAAAAGTTTGAAAACTTAAAGATTGGGGAGGCAAGACCATGGTTAATGCCAGTCACCTCTAGCATATTTGCGTGGGCCAGCCATTTTCCTGGGGAAACTCACTGGACCTTGCCTTCGGCAGTGGATTTCCCAAAAGTTCTGGTTTATTTTCCAGGTGATGGTGGATGTGATGGTGGTGGTATTTTGTGGACAGGGATTGAACTTGGGCCTGCAGGTTTATTAGAAAGCACTTTACCACTTGAGCTATTGCCCTCAAGCCTTTTTGTTTATTTATTTATTTTTAGGTAGGGTCTTGCTAACTTTTCTCTGACTGGGTTGAACTCTTCTGATCCTGCTGTCTCCCACCTCCTGACTATCTTGAGATTACAGGCTAGGCATTATAGTTTTTGATATCTATCTACAGGGTTCTTTAAAGTTGGAGTTTTCATTGCAGAAAATAACTTTATCATTGTGCTGTCAACCCATCTTTCCATTACTTGTTTAGCGATACCTGAGCTAATCAACTTCAACAAGGAAAGGTTTATTTTGGCTCACAGAGTAGGTCAGTTGGCCCCTGTTGCCTCCAGGGACTGACGTTGGCAGTACGTGTATGGTGGGATCCCATAGCAGAGGAAAAAGCTGTTCACCTTCATGGCAGGCCAGGAAGCAGAAAGAACAGAGAGACAGGGAGGGGCAGTGCTCCCAATTCCTTCAAGGTCATGTTCCCAAGTGGCCTAACTTTTCCCAGCAGGCCTCACCATCTAAAGGTCTTACCACTCCCAAATAGTGCCAACAGGCTGGCAACCAAAGCCCTTAGCACATGGTCTTAGGGGAACATTTGTATCCAAACCATCAGCAATGGTGAGCAAAAGCCAGGAAATCATGCTATCATCTGGAGTTAAAACAAAACCAAACCAAACCTCCAACTACAGTGATATGGTAGTAGATGTTTAATATTTTTTGAGGAGTCTCATAATTTTTTTCCAAAATGCTGAACTAATTTGCACCCATCAACAATGTGCAAGGACTCCCTTTACTCCACATTCTCCCACACTTGTTTATCTTGCATCTTGTTGATAATAGCATTCCTAACAGGTGCGCAGGTGACCTCTGGTGTTATTAATTTGCGATTTACTGTTGCGTTGGTGTTGATGTCTGTTTCATGTATCTGTCAGCTATCCTATGCTTTCTTTTTCTTTTTCTCTTATGCTTTCTTTTGGTCCCTTGCCCATTTAGGGCTGGGTTGTTTTATTGCCATTGGGTTTTTGAGTTTTTTTTTGGTTTCTTTTTTTTTATTCATATGTGCATACAAGGCTTGGGTCATTTCTCCCCCCTGCCCCCACCCCCTCCCTTACCACCCACCCCCCCTCCCTCTCCCCACCCCCTCAATACCCAGCAGAAACTATTTTGCCCTTATTCTAATTTTGTTGAAGAGAGAGTATAAGCAATAATAGGAAGGAACAAGGGTTTTTGCTGGTTGAGATAAGGATAGCTATACAGGGAGTTGACTCACATTAATTTCCTGTGCGTGTGTTACCTTCTAGGTTAATTCTTTTTGATCTAACCTTTTCTCTAGTTCCTGGTCCCCTTTTCCTATTGGCCTCAGTTGCTTTTAAGGTATCTGCTTTAGTTTCTCTGCGTTAAGGGCAACAAATGCTAGCTAATTTTTTAGGTGTCTTACCTATCCTCACCCCTCCCTTTGTGCTCGCTTTTATCATGTGCTCAAAGTCCAATCCCCTTGTTGTGTTTGCCCTTGATCTAATGTCCACATATGAGGGAGAACATACGATTTTTGGTCTTTTGGGCCAGGCTAACCTCACTCAGAATGATGTTCTCCAATTCCATCCATTTACCAGCGAATGATAACATTTGTTCTTCTTCATGGCTGCATAAAATTCCATTGTGTATAGATACCACATTTTCTTAATCCATTCGTCAGTGTGGGGCATCTTGGCTGTTTCCATAACTTGGCTATTGTGAATAGTGCCGCAATAAACATGGGTGTGCAGGTGCCTCTGGAGTAACCTGTGTCACAGTCTTTTGGGTATATCCCCAAGAGTGGTATTGCTGGATCAAATGGTAGATTAATGTTAGCTTTTTAAGTAGCCTCCAAATTTTTTTCCAGAGTGGTTGTACTAGTTTACATTCCCACCAACAGTGTATGAGGGTTCTTTTTTCCCGCATCCTCGCCAACACCTGTTGTTGCTGGTGTTGATGATGGCTATTCTAACAGGGGTGAGGTGGAATCTTAGTGTGGTTTTAATTTGCATTTCCTTTATTGCTAGAGATGGTGAGCATTTTTTCATGTGTTTTTTGGCCATTTGAATTTCTTCTTTTGAGAAAGTTCTGTTTAGTTCACTTGCCCATTTCTTTATTGGTTCATTAGTTTTGGGAGAATTTAGTTTTTTAAGTTCCCTATATATTCTGGTTATCAGTCCTTTGTCTGATGTGTAGCTGGCAAATACTATCTCCCACTCTGTGGGTGTTCTCTTCAGTTTAGAGACCATTTCTTTTGATGAACAGAAGCTTTTTAGTTTTATGAGGTCCCATTTATCTATGCTATCTCTTAGTTGCTGTGCTGCTGGGGTTTCATTGAGAAAGTTCTTACCTATACCTACTAACTCCAGAGTATTTCCTACTCTTTCCTGTATCAACTTTAGAGTTTGGGTCTGATATTAAGATCCTTGATCCATTTTGAGTTAATCTTGGTATAGGGTGATATACATGGATCTAGTTTCAGTTTTTTGCAGACTGCTAACCAGTTTTCCCAGCAGTTTTTGTTGAAGAGGCTGCTATTTCTCCATCGTATATTTTTAGCCTTTGTCAAAGACAAGTTGGTTATAGTTGTGTGGCTTCATATCTGGGTCCTCTATTCTGTTCCACTGGTCTTCATGTCTGTTTTTGTGCCAGTACCATGCTGTTTTTATTGTTATTGCTTTGTAATATAGTTTGAAGTCA